CTGACAGTCTCCCTTAATAATGAATCAGTCAGCACATATTATGGACAGGTTATTAAAACCACAGAAAAATGTTGTTTTGGACTTTAGAGGCCTGTTAATATTCAGGATATTTGAACAGTTATAAAAAATACCTTTTTGTAATTTACTGAATTATTGAGCAAAATGGCCGCTTTCTTTTCTTGTCTGCTTTGACAAGGAAAGTTGTGATTTGGAGGAGTTTACTCTATAAGCATGAGTTCCTCATAAAATTCATGTAACCATGTTTTTTTTTTTTTTTTTTACTTCTAGATTATGGTCTGTTACTGTATAAAGTCCTGAATTAATGACGCTTCTTCTGTCTTTTGGGTTTAATTGAAAAAAATAATTGGGAAATCCTTTATAAGCGTAAAAATAAATATTCTAATTTGGAGTAACTAGAATAAAGTAATCCAACTTTTCTTTAGTTTTGGCAAAGAGATAAAAAGTTAAGAGTAAAATAATCTAAGTAAGCATTTGGGAGAGAAAAGTGTCAGAAAAAAAGGAAACCAGGAGTAAAAAAAAATAATATATGTATATATTTTTTTCTTTTTCACTCGTTGAAATCATTATCAAAATATTTTGTTTTGCTTTTAATTCCTGTCTTTTGAAACATTGTATGATATATTTTTCTGTTGATATTTCTTTAGGGAAAGATGACCATATAATAGAGCAACAATTGTAATAGATAATCTGTTGCTGATCAAAGTGTGAATTACGTTACTGAATCAGAACATTTAGATATCTACCGGTATTAATGCATGCAATAAATTTAGAAATTAATAATTTTATTTAGATTTAGATTTTAGTGGAAATAATTATTTGTGTTCTATATAAACAAAATCTGTATTTAGGTGTCTTGTAGCACATCTGCATGAATATTTCTGGTGGATTTTTATTTAATTCAATAAGAACATCTCTTAACAAATTGACCTGCTGTACACAACACTAATAATTAATAAAGGAAGTGTGAAACAAGTAAAATAAAGCATTTTGACTGATTTTGTAAAGCACAGAAAAGTGTAATTAGCAGCAATGAATGCAATTTACATTTGCATAAGTGGGCTGGTTTATTGAGACAGCCTTTTCACTCACCTCTACAAAATCTGCAACATGTAGACTTCAATTAATATTATCCACAGCTGCTTGTAATCTGAGTGAGACTAGAAAAAAATCTCTGAAATCCGCTGATTACCTGTCGACAGCAGGATCAGTCTTAGAGTCGTGTTACTTGTGTAAAAACAATAAATTGTATTGCTCATGTCCATGTATTTGCGTTGTTACTTCACCCCAATCAGTGGAAGCAGAGCTAATAAACAAACCCCATACATTTGATGGAGGCTCCTTCTTTAGTAGACTAGAAATCCTTTTTATGCTTATTATTGAATTTTAAATATAGACTTATTGGTCAATGTAAAACTACCTGTTTTTGATAAGTATGTTTACTGTATAAAGTATGTGTTTATTTCATGCTTTTGTTTAATGGAAACCAAATTATGTTGTTTTCTACATGACATGTCAAGTACTGTATAGATAAAGTTAACCTCAAATTTTAAATTCTGGGAAACATGTAAAGAAGCCCATTGTTTAAATAAATCAAATATTTAAACTGGGGTGCAGCAAGAAGGTTCTGGGTTCAATTCCCGGCCCGGGGTCTTTCTGCATGGAGTTTGCATGTTCTCCCTGAGCATGTGTGGGTTCTCTCTGGGTACTCCGGCTTCCTACCACAGTCCAAAAACATGACTGTTAGGTTAATTGGCTTCTCTAAATTCTTCTTAGGTGTGAGTGTGTGTGAATGGTTGTTTGTCCTGTTTTTCTCTGTGTTGCCCTGCGATGTACTGGCGACCTGTCCAGGGTGGACCCCGCCTCTCGCCAGTTGGCAGGCTATATATTCTTTGGCTGTGACTGCTGGATTATATGGAAGCCTTGAAATGCAGCTGTATATTTTATACATTTTTTTAGAATAATGTGGGTTTTTTTTCATTTGGTCTTTTTCTGTTGTTTTGTTTTTTTTTTGCACAGGCAGGCAGGGGAGGATGATTTAGAGGCTATTTTTTTATGTTCACAAAATCATTATTTTTTTCATTTAACTTATCCACTGCAAACTGCAGGTTCGAACATTCAAGAACCAAACCTTCTGCTCTCACCACAGCTTGAATAAGATCTCAGAGATATTTGGGCATTTCTCATTTTTCTCCAGCAGGTGGACCCAATGATTCATCCAACCTATTAAACCCATCTATACTTCATAGATCTGTAATCCAATATCAACCGTTATAATACCGGTACTTTGATTCCAGTGAACATACAGTAGGGAGGACTGGGGACAATGACTAATTTTTTTTTTCTTTTCTCTCAGTCCAAGACTACTCAGCCTAAACCAACTCTTCATTTATATATTAAACTTGTATTTGTCTGCTAATTGCCAGTATGATAACACGCATTTTTCACAATATTCATAAAAACAATCTCAACTACGGCAGCTGACTCCATCCCTGGGATGGTGGCTACACCTCTCAGGGACGGTTACAACGTCATAAATCCACTTTATTTCATAAATAAACTTTGTTTGTTTTTCTCAACAATTGTCTAATCGTCAGAATGCATTTTGCTTAAAGAAACCTTCCCCAATCTCTTCTACATTTCCATGCTTGCATCAAAAATCAGTAGGTCTCTACAGGTGAAAAATATTTTTTTTTAATCTAAAAGTGGAAATGCTCGATCGTGAAAATCGCTATAATTTAATTTCGATGAATGAGGGACGTGTTATTCCACATAAAGCAACAGGTCTGTTAAAACCCCTTAAAAAGTGAACAAATAATTTGTGACGGTAACCCTTACATTTAAAAGGTCCAGCATCTCCATTGATGATGAACTTTTTTAAATATGATAAATGTTTTTTGTGGATATTTTAGTGCTTGTCAAACCAAACATTCAACATAAAGGGTTAATGAACAGCTACTACAGTTTGACTGTATTTTACACACAGACAAAATATGCCCAATGTCTAAAACGTCACTTTTTCTTTTGCTCCCTGCTGCCTCCTCCACTCCGGTAAAAGACCATAGTCTCATCCCAGTCCATAATGGTCCTATACCAGGACATGGTAAAAAAAATAAAAATAAATAACACTTAAATCATTTACTTAAAAATAAATCTTACAAATACACCCTAAATACAAAGTAACACAAGAACCCATTTACCCAACTTCCAACTGTAGAGAGAGAGGAAGCTATGAGAAAGTAAACAAGCTGTGAGGCAATCCACCAATTAAGGCCTTTAAAGTGGTCAAAGCAAACACGCCCTTTTATAAAAGGCATATGGCAGCCTGTATGGAGTTTTTGCAAAAGGCACCAGAAGAACTCTAAGATATTAATAATAGAACTTTATTGATCTCACACTGGAGAAATTCACCTCTGCATGTAACCCATCCCCTTGGGGAGCAGTTGGCTGCCACTGTGCAGCGTCCGGGGAGCAGTGTGGGGTTAAGGGTCTTGCTCAGGGACCCAGCGCGGCAGTCTGTGGGAGCTGAACTCAGAACCTACGGGACCCAAGCGCAATGATCTAAACCAGCGGTCTCCAACCCTGGTCCTCAAGATCTACTGTCCTACAGATTTTAGATGCATCCCTGCTTCAACACCGCTGAATCAAATGAATGGCTTGAAAAGGTAATCAATCATGTGATTCAGCTGTGTTGAAGCAGGGATGCATCTAAAATCTGTAGGACAGTAGATCTTGAGGACCAGGGTTGGAGACCACTGCTCTAAACACTAGGCCACCACTCCCCTAAGACAATGAGAAAACAACATTCTCAGGTTTAATTAGACTAAAATTGAACTCTTGTATGAATGCCAGGAGATATAGGCACTGCTCATCACCAGGCCATTTCCATCCCTACAGTAAAGCATGGCAGTGGTAGCATCATTCTATGGAAATATTTCTCAGTGACAAAAACTGGTGATCACGATAGTGGCAAAGATGAATGTACCAATGTTCAGAGACATCTTTGATAGAAGTCGGACACAGAGATCTCTTGATCTTAAACTGAACTGATGGTTCATGGTTTATCAGGATAACACATTTGCAATTTCAAAAATTTGTTCTTAACATGTCATAATGGGTGTTTGTGTAGAATTTTGATAAAAGGCATTAATTGGATACCATTTGTGTCATGTTTGGTTTTAGGTTCCTAACCCACATGCAGAAACACTCGGAAACAGGAGAAAAAGTTCAAAGGTTTATTGAAACAACACAGTTTAAATAAGAACAGATCCAAGGGATTATCAGATCCGGGACTGGTCACGACTGGGTTCACTGCAGAGGTGGACAGAGTGGTTAGCTGAAGTCCAGGTAATTTGCAGGGTTAGAGAGTGCAGGTCTGTACCTGATCTGGAGTTTGAGCAGAGCGGCAGAGAGGGGGAACCAGGAGGGTCCAGAGGCTGTCGGCAGGCTGAGGGCTTGGCGGAGGCAGAGCTTGGTTTGAGAGTTTGCAGACTACAGGTTTGAGTTTCTCTTTCAGATTCTTCAGAGAACGGGCAGGCAGGTCCTTGACAGATTTGATTCTCCAGGGTTCTTCAGAGATCAGACTGACAGATCTCCAACAGAGAAACTCTTTGAAGTTTCAGGTTTCAGGCAGGTTCAACCTGGGAAGCAGAGAGGACAAAACAGATTAGGTTCAGGTTTTCTGGGAGTCAGAGATTAAGACAGGCAGGTTTGCTCAGGCTTGCTAACCATAACTGGCAAACACTCTGGCGTCGAAGTGTAGCTCTCCGCCTCCTAAAGTACTGGTCTCCTGATGAGCAAACGAGCCGCAGGTGGTGCAGTCAGCTCCAGCTCCAGGAGACCTAGAATGCCCTCTGGTGGAGAAAAGTGGACAGACCTCCAGATCTCAACAATTTGGAGTAAAGTAAAATGTGGAAAAAGTTTAGCACTGTAAATACTTTCTGAATGCAACAAATCTTTAGAAAAGATGTTAAACATTTATGATAACAAAATGATTCCTTCCTTCCTTCCTTCCTTCCTTCC